AGTTGAACAAAGAGACTTTGGAGTGCAGGTTCATAGTTCCTTGAAAGTGGAGTCACAGGTAGATAGGATAGTGAGGATGGCATTTGGTATGCTTGCCTTTATTGGTCAGTGCATTGAGTATAGGAGTTGGGAGATCATGTTGCAATTGTACAGGACATTGGTTAGGCAACTTTTAGAATACTGTGTTCAATTCTGGCGTCCTTGCTTTGGAAGGATGTTGTGAAACTTGAATGGGTTCAGAAAAGATTTTCAAGGATGTTGCCAGGGTTAGAGGGTTTGAGCTATAGGGAGAGGCTGAATAGGCTGGGGCTATTTTCCCTGGAGTGTCGGAGGCTGAGGGATGACCTAATAGAAGTTTATAAAATTATGATGGGCATGGATAGAGTGAATAGCTAAGGTCTTTTCCCTGGGGTGGGGGAGTCCAAAACTAGAGAGCATAGGTTTAAGGTGAGAGGGGAAAGATTTAAAAGGGACTTAAGGGGCAACTTTTTCACGCAGAGAATGACGTGTGTAATGAATGAGCTGCCAGAGGAAGTGGTGAAGGCTGGTACAAACACAATATTTAAAAGGCATCTGGCTGGGGATATGAACAGGAAGGGTTTAGAGGGATACGGGCCAAATGGTGGCAGATCGGACTAGATTAATTTAGAATGCGTGGTCAGAATGGATGAGTTGGACCAAAAGGTTTGTTTCCATCCTTAATCCATCTTTAACTCTATGACTCTGTAATTAGGGACACAGTCTCAGAGTCAATCCTCAAGATTGCACCTGGGACAGTACTGTCTTGAAAGAGTTTGATGGGGCAGTGTAGAGAGAGAGCTTTACTCTGTATCTAACCCCATGCTGTACCTGTCCTGGGAGTGTCTGTTGGGGCAGTGTAGAGGAAGCTTTACTCTGTATCTAACCCCATTATGTACCTGCCCCTTGGAGTGTTTGATGGGCTAGTAAGGAGATTCAAAATTGAAAATCGCAAATCCTTTCCTGAGATGTCTTTGTCTGTCTGTTTCAGCTGCTAAGCTTTAAGATACAGAAATGAGTGGTTGGTGCCAGTTGGTATAGATTAATGTGGGATTGTCGTTCGCACTCAGAATAGATTTCAACACCAGTTTATAAAAAAAACATCCAATTAACAGAGTTCTGAAATACACGCTTTATGTTTATCCAACAGAAGTTAACCACTCTTCACTTTGCCCTCCCCCTCGCTCTTGCTCTCTTCCCTCACACTTCACTCTCACTCTTCTTCTCATTCTCACTTTCATCTTACTTTTGCTGGCTCTCTCATTCTCGGCCTTTCCCTCACCTTTCCTCTCTCTCCCTTGACACTAATTGTTGCCCACAGTCTCAATCTCAGCGTCCTCCTGCACCTTTTCACTGATCCTATCCCTTAGCCTGACTCTTGCCCTTGCCCTTTCCTGCTTCCTCCCTTTTTCCCAGACTTTTCCCTTCGACCTTGTCTTCTTCCTTCACCCTCAGGCTCTCCCTCACTGTCAGACATGACCTTGGCTGAGAAGAATGATGCAGGCAATATCTCCTTCCTTTATTAACCTTCCTTCTCCCAATGCGGGAAGGATGCATGAATCCCTCACAAATACTAAGAGGATCTCAGACCAGACAATCATGTTTCTCCCTTTTGGATGACATTGGATGCTAAATATTTTGCAATTTCTACAAAGCTCCTGCCTCTTCAGTTCTCTCCCCTCCTGCAGTGAAAAGCCAGACTGAAGCTGAAGAAATGGGAGGACAAGCATTCCTGACTTGATGATGTTTGCAATGATGTAACTATAACATTAGCAGGTCTTATAGAGACTCTGAGAGGAGAGGACTGAACAGTCTTGTCTGGCGCCGAGCAGTAAGACAAGAATCAGTCTTGTGTACAATAGCATGTCAATAATTGAGTTTCTTAGAATAGAATTCCTGAGAATTAGACTTTAGTCACTCTTGGATAAGATGAAGACAGAGATGTAGCAGCCTCACAGTAGGGATACTATAGACTAGGGGAGCAGCCTTGACAGCGCAGGACTGAGTGCAGCCGTGTGGCAGACAGAATCTATGAGGACAGAGAGACATAAGGCAGTATCCATGGAAGTAGATCAATCTATGGTGTCAGCTCACCCCTGTTTGCATGAACACTGGATGTTTCTCCTTGTTATATCTTCAACAGTGACTATCATCAGCTGTTTGACCATAAAGGCCCTCATTATACATCTCAAACCTGACCGTACACGGGATGTTCAAACAGCAGTGACCAGCTAGTGGTTAGAAGTGGGCACCCAGGTAAAGGCATCTCTCCATCCCCAGTCTAGGGGCAACCAACCCCCCCTACACCCCACCTTCAGCTGTAATACCCTAGATATGTACAATCAGCACAGAATGAGAGCTGAGACTTCCCAGTTTATACAGCCACTTTCCTCTGATCAGTGCCTAGTTACAAGAGAAGAATAAGAATTTCTGTTTAAATGCTTCCTTTCATGGCTTTAAGTCTCATGTCAGAAATTTGAGCACCCGATTTAGGCTGCCACTCAGGTGCATTATTGAGGGGCTGTAGTATTTGCTTTCAAGATGTAACATTAAACCAAGGCACCAGCTGACCCCTCAGGCTGGTTTGAAGGATCGCATTGCACTAATCTTTGGGGAGATGAGATAATGAGCTAGCTCTTCCAAAGAGCTGACTTGGACATTATGGGTTGAATGGTCCACTTACTGAGAAGACTGGGGAGTTCTTCAACCTCCAACCAATACCAATATCACTAGCCCTGATTATCTCATCTGTTTGTTGGAACTTCCTGTGCATAAATTAACTCAGAGATAGTACTGCTCCTATGATGCTGCTTGGCCTGCTGTGTTCATCCAGCCCTGCACCTTGTTGTCATAAATTAATTGTTGTGTTTCCTATAATGGTGATTACACTTCAAAAAGATACTTCATTGGCTCTAAAGTGCTTTTGCACCTTCTGAGGGTGATGTAAGGTGCTATCTAAAGGCAAATCTTTCTTTTTTACATCATGCTTCTCATTTAACAAAACCTTTCGGAAAGTTTCGCAGCAGTGGAACTAAATACTGTTCAGGATAAAGAGGGAAATAGTGTGGCAACAGTGGAATGATTGGAAAGTTCTGTTTTTAGGGAGGTAAGAGATGAAGGAAGGAAGGAAAAGTAGTTTGGAGGAGGAATTGGGGAGGATTTGAAGAGTTGCCACTGAAGAATCAATCTCTGTTGTTGAAAACGAGCAGAGTTGATCATCAGTAATAGCCCAGTCTCAGAAGACAGAGTTTGGGCAGTATCCTGGTCATATATAGTAACAGACAGTGCTCATTGTTGCTTATGCAGCAAAATAATTCACTTGTAGTCCTCAGAGAGCCTTCAAGCAATGATGGAAGAGGATAGTAAACTTTCTAATGCATTAATTACATTGTCAGGATAAGAACTGATAGTGTTAATTAGAGGCATTATTGAACCAGTCAGCCAGCAGATATCGAGTCTAGATCAAGTCTTCTAAAGGTTCTAAACGTAAATGGTGATTTGTAGGTCTCTGTCCTCAGGAGGGATGGGAGTGAGCTGTGGCAGGGAGAGCGGCAGATCAAATCTGTGAAGTTTTTTTTTAAAATGGATTACATGAAAAGTGATACCTCTAGTCAGTGCACAAATGGGTGAGAAAGGATGGAATGAAAGAAATAGTAATTGTAAGGATCTCCTTTTGCCTGGATGAGGATAGCAATTGGTTTTCCGTTTCCTTCATTCTTCATACAGATGTGTTTACTTCCTGAATAATGATTAAATAGCACTGAGTAGCTGTTTCAACTGTGTGACATGCTTTACTCAGCTATTCTGAACTTCTCCCATGGAAGCTGGGGTCAATATTATCCCGAGTGATCTGGCTTTGTTTAAAAGCAGTTGTGGGTGCGACAGTAGATTACGGGACTGCAGTGCCATTGACAGTGGGAAACAAACAGAATCATTTTAACTTGACCCTCGACCTGGAAACTGATACGATTGGATACAATATCATATTAATTCCCACCCTCCTACAGTTTTACTCACCATTATTAAACTCAAGGACAGCAATATCATGGGAGGGTGTAAAACAGTGTTTTCTTCTTGATCCCATGGATTCCTGTACAGCAGGTTCATTAAAATTGCACCTTTTTTTAAATGTGCTTGTGTTGTGAGCATCATTAACTGGGCCAGTATTTATTGCCTGTCCCTAGTTTCCCTTGAGAAGGTGGTGGTGAGTTGCCTTCTTGAACCGCCGTAGTCTGTGTGCTGTAGGTAGACCCACAATGTTGTTAGGGAGGGAACTTCAGGATTTTGACCCAGCAACAGTGAAGGAATGGCAATATATTTCCGAGTCAGGATGGTGTATGGTTTGGAAGGGAACTTGCAGGGGGTGGTGCTCCCATGTATCTGCTGCCTTCAGCCTTCTAGATGGAAGTGGTCCTAGGTTTGGAAGATGCTGCCTGAGGATCTTTGGTGAGTTGTTATAGTGCATCATGTAAATGTAGACGCTGCAGCTGCAGTGCAGAGTAATGGCGGGGGTGAATGCTTAAAATGGTGGATGAGGTGCCAGTCAAGTGGACTGGATGGTATTGAGATGCTTGAAGTTTGATGAAGCTGCAGTCATCCAGGCAAGTGGAAATCCATCACACTCCTGACTTGTGCCTCATAGATGGTGGACAGGCTTTGGGGACTGAGAGCATTCCTAGCCTCTGACCTATAGCTGTTGCCATGACACTAATATGGCTTGCCCAGTCCAGTTTCTCATGATCTCTGCAGCAAATACCAATGTACATCCCTTATCAGTGTGGCATTGAGGATCCCAGGATTCATGTGTCAGTCCAAACGGAAAAGCAGGAACGTGACGGCCAGAAAAAGCTTCCTCAAAATTAGATCAAATTATGACCAAAAGAGGGAAGTGCCATGTTTGGCTGGGTCGGGGACTGTGGTGATGCTGAGTTAATGTTCTCTCTCTCTCTCTCTCTCTCCCTCTCCTGATTTCTTTCCCACAGACTCGGAGTCCCAGACATTCCCAGAGCCAGCAGTCTGGACTGGCAGACCAGGCAGCCAAGTTACCATTTGCATCGGCGGAGTCCTTGGAAACCATGTCTGAGGCTGAAGTCCCGATTGGTTTTACCCGGTCCAACCGTTTCAGACAGAGCCTGCCCCTGTCCAGGTCCACCAGTCAAACCAAACTCCGCTCACCAGGTAGGCCAGTTACTGCTGAGGCTGAGCGGCAGAATCTGCACCAGCTCTGCCCCTTCTGCTCAGTTTGATTATGGGCCACCAAGACTTTGTCCATCTCATGGGACATGTACAGGTTAATGAGAATGTCAAGTTGGAAATCTCATGTGCTCCTTACTGTGAAGGTAATAGTTAAATTGCTCTGATGTAAAGTCGCTGATCTGAAATGTTTACTCAGTTTCTCTCTCCACAGGCGCCACTGGACCTGCTGAGTATTTTCAGCATTTTTTGTTTTTATTTCAGGTTTTCATCTACAATGTCTTACATTTGTTCAGTTGTAATGATTAACCTACTGTAATGGGGACTCAGTGGGTGCTTTGTTTTATTTTAATCTGATCTCATTCCTGTGAAGCACCTTTGTGATAGCTTTTTAAAATTCATTCATGGGATGTGGGTGTTCCTGGCTGGACCACCATTTATTACCCATCATTAATTGCCCGAAGACCAGTTACAAGTCAAGCAGGTTGCTGTGGGCCTGGAGGCATATGTAGGCTGGATCAGGTAAAGACGGGAGATTTCCGTCTCTAAAGGGCATTAGTGAACCATGTGGGTTTTTAACAACAATTGACAATGGTTGCCATTAGGCTAACTTTTTATTCTAGATTTTATTCAATTCAAATCTCTACCTGCCATTGGCACCAATGTTCCCAGAGCATTGGCCTGCGATTCTGGATTGTTGGTCCAGTGACATTACCACTGTACCAGCGCCTCACTGTATACTTAGACAATTTTTGTGAATGCAAATTTTTATTTATTGTGCAAGTGCAGAGCTTTGGTCAAAATCCTGGCTCAAGTGACTGTGGTATAATGAGATTAATGTATATCATGCCAATATAACATGAGGGGAGGCATTGGCCTAGTAGTATTATTGCTAGACTGTTAATCCAGAGACCCAGATAATGTTCTGGGAACCTGGGTTCAAATCCCGCCACACCCAATATCATATCTGGAATTAAGAGTCTAATGATGACCGTGAATCCATTGTGGATTGTCGGAAAAACCAAACTGGGGTTCACGAATGTCCTTTAGGAAAGGAAACTTCCATCCTTACCTGGTCTGGCCTACATGTGACTCCAGACCCACAGCAATGTGGTTGACTCTTAACTGCCCTCTGGGCAATTAGGGATGGGCAATAAATGCTGCCTGGCCAGTGACACCCTCATCTTGTGAATGAATAATAAAAATATGATTCTGACATCAGTAAGATAGCAGACACCAGTCTAGATTGAGCATGTGAAGAGAGAGGACTTAGACACTGCACTGGAAAGCTGTGTTTGAGATCCTACTACGTACAGGTGTAAAGAGAGAAATATTAGAGTACATAAGGAGTTCAAACACCTTATCTAGTGAGAAGGAAAAAGCACTAGCTACAGCTACAGTGTATGTACAGGTAGAAGTATCAGCTTAAAGCACAAGGTAATGTAGTAACTTTATTCAGTGTATGGTACTGGACTTTAGGAGATCATATCGATCTTAAAGTCAGTGCAGAACAGACTCAACAGAATGAATTTGCTGGGGTATAAAGGGTTAATGAGGTTAGGGTCTGTGTTCAGGGCCTGTTTTCCATTAACTCCAGAAGACTGAGTGGGGATCTAGCTGAAATACGTCAAACATGTAAAGGATTCGATAGGGCAGAAAAATAGAATTTCCTAAAGGGGAAATCATCTTGAAATTGAAGTTCAGCCACTCAGGAGTGAAACCATAAACACCTTTTCACAGGAAAAATAGTAGAAACATTGTATTTTCCTTCTGAAAGGCTGTGGTTCCTATGGGCAGTATGAAATTTTGGAGCTGGGAATCTTTTTTGTAGTTGACAGTAACAAGGGATATGGAGCTACAGTGTGGAAGGGAATACAGAACACGTATGTTGGAGCAGGCTCAAGGGGATGCCAAAGCTCCTCCTGCTTCTAACTTTATCCTAAAATATAAACACATTAAAACTGTGAATGACACATTCATTAGTTAATGCCTGGTCTGTCTCATCATATATATTTCAAAATGGTGACCGATTTAAAAAAAAACCATTTCCAAGGAAGAGAGATAGTAGGAACTGCCGATGCTGGAGAATCTGAGATAACAAGGTGTAGAGCTGGATGAACACAGCAGGCCAAGCAGCATCAGAGAAGCAGGAAGGCTGACGTTTCAGGCCTAGATCCTTCTTTAGAAATGGGGGAGGGGGAAGGGGATTCTGAAATAAATAGGGAGATCCACTAAGGTCTTTCCGGAGGGTAACTTCTTCAAGGTAGGCATCTTTAGAAGAGGCTTCGCAGTGGTGTTAAAATTGTTTCAGAGATAGTAGAAACTGCCGATGCTGGAGAATCTGAGATAACAAGGTGTAGAGCTGGATGAACACAGCAGGCCAAGCGGCATCAGAGGAGCAGGAAGGCTGACGTTTCGGGACTACACCCTTCTTCAGTAAGATTGTATTTTACTTTACATCACTAGGACTGAACACTGGGGAAGTAAAAATATCCGGTTGGCATGGACGAGTTGGACTGAAGGGTCTGTTTCCGTGCTGTACAGCTCTATGACTCTATGATATTAAAACTACCTGTCATAATTGTATAACTACACAAAGCTGTCTGTACGGTCTACACCTTGCACTGACTCCATTGCACTGACTGTGGATTGATAAACTGGAACATCACTCATCAATCACATTGTCTTAAAGGTACACTCCCCATCTGGGATCTGTGCAATAATACATCAATGATCTCAGCTGTTGTTGGTGAGAGTGTTTCTGGAGTACACAGGAGGGATTTGCCAGGGAAGAACTGAAATGGAAGGGTAGCCTTTGCAAGAATTGGGAGGTTTTTAAGTGCTGTTTGTGAAGTTGTATTGACTTAGGAGCAGGATCCCCTCGTATGCCAACAGAAAAACAAAGATCTTGTGGAAAAGAAAGAGAAAACCATGTGTAACCAATCTTCAACAGAAACTCAACAAATTAAAACCAGTAATAGTCATCCTTGGGAATTGAGCCAATTATAACCTTCTACAAGAACTCAGCAGGTTGGTTATATCGTGGAGGTAGGGAATAGTGAGTAGACATGGCTCAGTGGTTAGCACTGTTGTCTCACAGCACCATGGACCTGGGTTCAATTCCAGCCTCAGGCAACTGTCTGTGTGGAGTTTGCACATTCTCCCCATGTCTGCGTGGGTCTCCTGTAGGTGCTCCAGTTTCCTTCCACAATCTAAAGATGTACAGGTTCAATGGATTGGCCATATTAAATTGCCCTTGTGTAAAGGGGTGCCTGAGTTAGGTGGATTAGCCATGGGAAAAAGCAGGGTTATAGGGTTTGGGTGGGATGCTGCTCGGATGGTTGGTGTGGACTTGATGGGCCAAATGGACTACTTCCAAACTGTATGGATTCACAAGTTAAGGGGAGCCCAACATTAGATAAGGACAGAGTCAGTTAGATTTTAATTCCCAGTAATGAATCAGCATGCCCTGTCTCACTTTCCACATGAAATGAAGTCACTAGTGAGTTGTGTGGTAAAACACAAGGCAGCATATCCAGTGGGAATCAGCATCTTCAGAGGGGGGCGAAGAGAGAAAACTATCAGCAAAAAGTATACTGATGTACAAAGCAGACCCTGTCGTCCAGTGTGTGATTTATGACTGTGGTTATGTAAAGGATATATTCCTGACTGACATCAATGTTTTCTCATCCAACAGGGGTGTTGTTCTTGCAGTTTGGCGACGAAACCAGACGTGTCCACGTCACACACGAAATTGGCAGCCTGGACACCCTGCATGCTCTGATTGTTCATATGTTCCCTCAGAAACTCACAATGGGAATGCTCAAGTCACCAAACACTGCAATCCTCATCAAGGATGAGACGAGAAATGTCTTTTATGAACTGGAAGATGTAAGGTACAAAGAGCCAGTTCTTTCAAAGTAGTGTAGAGACAAAAAAAGGCTGCAGATGCTAGAATGCAAGGTAGACAAACAGGAGGCTGGAAGAACACAGCAGGCCAGGCAGCATCTGGAGGAAAGGAGAAGTCAACATTTTGGATATTACCCTTCTTCACTACCATGGTGTCACCACCATTCTGCTACCATCCCTCCTGCCCCCTCTTTATCTGCAGCTGCTCCTACCCCCCACATCCAGTCCTGAAGTAGGGTTATACCGGAAACATTGACTGCTCCTTTCCTCCAGATGCTGCCTGGCTTGCTGTGTTCTTCCAGCCTCTTGGCCTCAAAGTAGTGTCTTTGACTGATGGCTTGAGAAATTTATCACAGGCCTAGTAATTTGTAAAAGATAAAGGCCCAACCTGTTCCATGGTAGCACATCTGACCTGTGTTCAGGTCAACCCAGTGACTGAACCCTAACACTAACTCTATCACAGGTGATATTTACAAACAGCTGCTGTGAGTAATGTTTAAGTCACTGAGGCTGAACGTCCAATAAAACAATAATGTTGGGAATGGAATGAAAGCACTCTCACTAGGTAAGTGTTGCTAACTTGAGTATGTCTCATCATTATGGGACAACAACAGTACCCTGCATTTATATAACTCCATTAGTTTAGATATAGCACTATTAACATTGGTAAAGCATCCCAGGATACATCAACATTGAGCCAGGTACCAGGGACGGAGGAACCCACTATGTGTGAACAATGAAGAAACTGGAACTTCTTCCTTAGACGAGAGAAAAATGAAAAACACAATTTAATATTGTTTCACTTACAAATTGTGAAAATGCTTTTCACTGGTGAAAGGTTCGGTGACTAGAGAGAAAAGATTAAACATAATTGTGAAAAGAACAGTTATTAACATTTTTTCCCACAGAATGTGGGCATCGCTGACAATGTCAGCATTTGTTGCCCAATCTCAACTGTCCTTTAACTGAGTGGTTTGCTGGGCTTTTATGAGTCAACCATATTGCTACAGTCCTGGAATCATGTGTAGTCTAGATCAGGTAAACATAGCAGATTTCCTTCCCTGTAGAATTTGTTTTTTTTGACATGTGGTGAATTGCTTTGGTCTGAAAACACTGCCTGAACAGTGTTACAGAGAAGAAATGGCCGAACCCCTCTGATAATTAAACCGAAACAGAAGGTTTAACAGAAGGTAGGTCTGCAGGTACAACAAGTAATTAGGAAGGCAAATGGAATTTTGTCCTTCATTGCTAAAGGGATTGAAATTAAAAGCAGAGAGGTTATACTGCAGCTGTACAAGGTGCTGGTGAGGCCACACCTGGGGTACTGTGTGCAGTTTTGGTCTCCTTACTTGAGAAAGGATGTATTGGCACTGGAGGGGGTGCAAAGGAGGTTCACTAGGTTGATTCCGGAGTTGAGGGGGTTGGCTTATGAGGAGAGACTGAGAAGATTGGGATTATATTCATTGGAATTCAGAAGATTGAGGGGGGATCTTATAAAAACATATAAAATTATGAAGGGAATAGATTAGATAGAAGTAGAGAGGATGTATCCACGGGCAGGTGAAGCTAGGACAAGAGGGCATAGCCTCAAGATTAGAGGGAGCAGATTTAGGACTGAATTGAGAAGGAATTTCTTCACCCAGAGGGTTGTTAATCTATGGAATTCCTTGCCCAGTGAAGTAGTTGACACGCTTCAGTAAACGTTTTTAAAAAAAAGGTAGATTTTTTTTGAACAATAAAGGAATTAAAGGATACGGTGAGAACGCAGGTAAGTGGATCTGACTCCACGAAAAGATCAGCCATGATCTTATTGAATGGCGGAGCAGGCTCAAAGGGCCAGACGGCCTACTCCTGCCCCCAGTTCTTATGTTCTTATGAAACACAAGCCCCGATCTGTTATGACAGGAGTAGAGGTTCCCTTCTAATAATTACCCCTGAAACACCCAGAGAAGCTTACTTTTCCCCTCATAATCTGTTAACACATTGGTTAAAAGAAAGAAAATCCCTGATCTACTTTATAAATAATAAGAATCAATTTATTTATTTAACCCTAACAATGAACAAATTAACAGAATTACTAACAAAGCAAATAAATCCCCATTAGACTACTAATTACTCCCTAACTGAACTAAATTCAACTGGGACACTGTTCAACTAAAGACAAGTCCCACTTAGATAAATGCAATTAATAAGACAACAATAAATTAAAATTTAATCTCTTCTTGTTCGCACAGACCATCTTGTAGAATCCTCTGCTTTCTCCAGCCTTTTTTTGTCGCTCTCACATCACAAATGTCTTTCTGCCACTGATTCTACTGTCAGGGATGTTTTCTCTGTGAAGACTCTTAGCTAAAAATGCTGTGGTATCTTTTATCGATAAGCTGGTGCTTTCTCAGAGAGCTTAGCAATTTCTTGTGAGAGCTCGGGATTTATTTCTCAGATGGTGGGCTTGCTCTCCCCTCAGATGACAGTTGGCTCTCTACGATTTTCCAAATGCCCTCGTCTTTATATACTCACCGATGACACATCAATTTCCTATAATATGATTAGTTTCAGGTTGCCGAAACCATCTGTTTTAAATTCAACTGGTTTTTGGTAGCTCAGGGCCTGGTACAAATTGATTGGCTAAAATTCAAAACTGTTGTCATAGTAAAAAAAAAGTGCTGCTTGTCCTTTCAACATAAAAAAAAATTGGGATACTTTCTGTACTGGCACTGACCAGCTGCTGCTCACAGGCATACATTTTTAAAAATCTCTAAGCACAGAAAAAGAAACACCATCATTTAAAGGGACAATGCACAGCTTTTCCCCACTATCATTTTTGCCAACAAATTCTAACTTCCAGCCTTCCAATTCATGACTATTCTACACAATTTTGTAACAATAGACAGGAAAGCAGAATCATTTGAGACCTCCCAGGACGGTTGGTCCAGCCCTTGTGTGAGATGCCCAGAACCAGGTAAGGGCCCTATGCTCAAGGCTATGAATCACGACCAAAGACAGAACCAGCACCTTTTCACTGGTAATGCTGGAAAGAGGTAGAATCGCAAGTGAAATCAGCTGCTTACAGATGCAGGATCCTTTAGAAAGAGGATTTATGTTTCCTTTAAGCACACATTAAGGCAATGGGAAATCACCACATTCTTTGCTCTAGTTATATTCTCATTGAAATTGAAAATGGAAAGTTTCCTATAAGCAACTGAAGAAGAAATGCAAGACTATGAGGCTGGGAGCAATGAGCTGAGAACCTGCTTTTATGGTACACTGCCGTAAAGGGCATGGATGGTGATTTTTCAAAAGAAAATTGGACAAATATCTACAAAGCCAAGATTTGCAGGACTGGGGTTGGGATGGATGGGCTTTTTTTTAAAGAGCTGATACAGGTGTGGTGGGTTGTAAGGTCAATTTCTGTGTTAGTGATTTTTAAGAAAATTATGGCATGGCAAGGCAAGGCTAAACTATTATGATGGATCATAATTTTAAGGCGATTGGAGGAAGGTATAGGGGAGATGTCAGAGGTAGGTTCTTCACACAGAGAGTGGTGGGTGTGTGGAATGTGCTGCCGGCAGTGGTAGTGGAGTCAGATACTTTAGAGACTTTTAAACGACTCTTGAATAGGCACATGGATGATAGTAAAATGTAGGGTATGCAGGGTAGATTAATCTTCGTAAGATAATAGGTCGGCACAACATCGTGGGCCAAAGGGCCTGTACTGTGCTGTACTGTTCTATGTTCTATGTAAACCATTTGATGTCTCAATGAGCAAGTAGCTATGAAGGAGAGGATGGAGACAGGACAGGGGAAGACCATGTTTTGGGGTTCCAGTGAAATACCTATATCAAACCTTACTTTGTTTGGACTAGATCTAATACCTCGTCTACTAGCACCAAATCTCAGATTTAAGCAATGTAGACTTAAACACCTCGATGCATTCAGTAATAACTCTAGGAGGAACACAGTTGTGTTCCCATCACTGAACTTCCTCAACGCGGAGACAATAAGGACTGTAGATGCTGGAAAAGCACAGCAGGTCAGACAGCATCCGAGGAGCAGGTAAGTCAATGTTTCAGGCCGAAACCCTCTCAGGACCTGAGGGGCAGAGTCCCAGAAATAAAAAGAGGCAGGGGGTGGAGCTGGGGGAAGGGTGGGAGAGATGGTGATATGTGAATGCAGAAGGGGGTTATTGTGATTGGTCCATGGGAAGGGTGGAGCAGATAGGCGAGTGGGAAGATGGACAGGTTAGGTCAGGTCAGGAGGGGGAGGGCTGGACATGGGTTAAGGCTGGGGGTGGAGGGATTTTGAAGCTGGTGAGGTCAATATTGAGGCCATTGGGCTGTAACCTCCCAAGGTGAAATATGAGGTGTTGTTCCTCCAGTTTACGTTTGGCCTCAGTCTGACAGTGGAGGGGCCGAGGATGGACTTGTCACCAGGGGAGTGGGAGGGGGAGTTAAAGTGAATGGCAACTGGAGGGCCAGGTTGGTTGGTGCTTGCAGAGCACAGATGCTCTGTGAACCGGTCCCCAAGTCTGTGTTTGGCCTCCCCGATATACAGGGGAACACATCGGGAGTGACGGATATGGTAGATCAGGTTGGATGAAATGCAGGTGAATCTCTGCCGGATCTGGAAGGATTGTTTGATTTATTTCTGGGCTTCCTCCACCTCCCCCAGTCCTGACAAAGGGTTTTGGCCTGAAACGTTGACTTTCCTGCTCCTCGGATGCTGTCTGATCTGCTGTGCTTTTCCAGCCTCACACCTGTAAACACTGAACTTCCTCAACCTCTTCGAAGCAGTCAGAATCCACATCTTGTAAGTTCAGAAATAATTGCCTAACCATTCTCTTATTGGGGATCTTCAGTTACAGGTCAATATAAACAACTGTCAGGAATATCACCTCTGATATCTCACCACATTTTTCTTTTCTTCCAGGGATATCAAAGAACGAAGTATAATAAAAATTTTCAGGAAAGATCCTGTCTACGCACCATATCCTTCCCATGCTTCCCACATCGCCAATGGAGATCTGAGAGTAAGACATTGTAAATTCTTTTTTTTCAAACCTCAGGTAATGTCTTACAGAAGTACATAAGAAAAGCCAAGGAAGGGATAAAGGCCATTTTATTGATTGAATCCTATCTCAAAGTATTCTCACTCTCCTATCCCAACAATGGAGTGTCTTTTTAACCACCCCTGATTTCTATCTCCATCACCCAGTCATGTACCTAACAAAAAACTTGAATTCCATCATGAATGAAAACAGGTTATGCTTCAAGATGTAGTAAAACGATGTGACAAGGGAGATTGGTGCTGTCAAAAGGCAGGAAAACAAGCTAATGAGTAAAAGTTGATTACTAACGAGATGCTTGAGAAGTGAATACTAATGATGTCCCATTCACTGCCATCCTACAGCAACACTTCATCTCATTGTCATTGAGAGCCACATCTGCATCTGAGGGATCTGACAGCAAAGGTTACTATTTGCATATGGAAGTGCTGATAATTACTGAAGAGTGATAATCAGTGCAGTAAGCCTGTTTACTAAGGAAACAGTTTCTGGCGTATTGAAGCTGATTTTACTGCAAGTAAATCTGACTCAGGAATGATGCTTGACGTCTTCCATTTTCTATCGCTCATTTCCCTCGTTCCTTTCTCCCATGGAATACACTAAGTTTATACATCTGAAAGGAAACTTTGCCTTTACATGAGATAGTAAGAACTGCAGATGCTGGAGTCAGAGATAACACAGTGTGGAGCTGGAGGAACACAGCAGGCCAGGCAGCATCAGAG